ATCTTACCAGAGAACCCCTGTTGCTTTGTGAGACCTCCAAGTGAGAAATACCACAGTTCTCCTCCACATGACAGGACAAAAGTTCTAGACCCAGCCCAGTTCTGTGCTGCATTAACCCCAGTTCCCTGTCCATTGAGTGTCACTATGGTGTGCAAAGATGTACTGGCTTGCTTTGGTGTCTGCATGTTCTTTCAATGAACTTAATGAATGTGCACCCTGAACACGAGCCATTTTTGCTCCAGCATGCATCATCACCTACTTTCAATTAAGTTACAAGGCCAGAGTCACCACGGAGCAAGACTTGCCAAGTTTCTAAACGTTCTGTAATTCCAACAAAAGCATACCAATCATACATTTTGCTTTTTTAAATATTCAGATTAACCCAGGGGTTGGCAATATAGTTTGTCAGCCAAATTTGACCTGCCAGCTATTTGTATAAATCAGGTTTCATGGGAACACAGCCAGCCCCGTTGCCTTATGTATTCTCTAGGGCTGCTTTTGTGTTATAACTGCAGAGTTGAATCTATATGACAGACACTATCTGGCCCACGGCAGCTAAAATATTTACTATCTTTTACAGAAAATGTTTGCTATCCCCTGGTATAAACCCTTACATTATCCACAACATGGAATACTTAGTCTTCAGCTCTACCCCAGAAAAATATGTTATCTATGTGCCTTATCAAAATCCCAAGAAAGAAAAATTATGAAGGGTGTCGAACCCATGCACTTCCCCAGGTATTCTAGCCATAGATTTATATGGACGTGTATGTGACCTGAATCAACTTACTTCTGACTGACTATGCAGGACAAAAATGGGTTTATTAAATCGCATTTTTGTTTCATGTCCTCCCTTTCCTTGCAGGGTCTACAGGGTACTGCCTTATAAAACCCACTTTTGCAGTCACTCTAGGAATATTCTTGGAGACTGTATAAAATTCCACATGAGACATTTCCTTAAGAGCCAAGTGTTAGAAAGCCTCTCCTTCCCTGAGGAACTGGTATTTTTTTGTCTCTCTAACAATAATAACTAACCATAGTTCCCTTTTCAATATGGCTGCCAGAACACTTAACGCCAAATTTGAGGTTCAGCCCAAGCGGATCCTTATGACTTGCATAACTATGAATTTTTCTTCTGTTCTTGACTCTCTACTCTTATTTATGTTTTTCCCCAGTTTTGATTTCTGTTTCTTATTTATATCCTAACAACTTCATTATGCATGTTTTTGCTGTCACAAATCCTCCTAAAGAAACAAGGCCCAGCTAAAGATGAATAAAACAAGTTCCCATCTCAGCCTTAACCCTAAAGTGTTGGAATTGCTGAAATGGGTCTTTGTGTCCTTCGTAAGGCTTATAAGCTCTGGTAGGGCAAAGCCTTATGTCCCTTGTTCACCATTTATTCCCACAGCTGGCACACAGTAGGCCCTTTGCAAACACTTCAGTGAATGTCACTGCATGTTTGACACCTGGAGTGAGCACCACAGGAGTGCCTCTTTCCACGTTTAAGGAGGGCTCACAGGACAAATGAAAACACTTAGGTTCTCCATCAGTGAACTGGGGTAAACATATTTACCTTGAAGGGTAGTCGTGAGTGATGCTGTATCTACTCATCCTTCATTTTTAAGGCAAGCGTCCGTTTTGGCTAAAAACAATGGAGCTGAACCATGATAGGTTCCTGTCCCCACTTGTGTGATGTTAGACAAATCATAAGCCCATGGGTTGCAAAATTTGCTGCACACTGGAATCGGCTGGGTTCTTTCAAAAATATTGCTATCTGGCTCTTACCCCGGACAGTGTAATTTAATTTGAATAGGTTATGACTTGGGCACCGGGATTGCCAAAGCTCTCCAGGTGATCCTACTGTGTAGCCAAGTGAGGACAGCCCAGTAGTAGCCACTTTTGTCTGGGTCACCTGCCTCACGGATCAAGTGACTGACTAGAGTACACGTCAGTCTTAAGGAAGATCCCTTTAAGATCTCAGGTTTCACCCGTATACTCCCATTGGATTGGAATCTCAGGAGGACCGCAACATGGTGAGGAAGTGCTAATAAAACATCTTGTGGCTGTGTCCTGAAAGCCTCCTCCTAATGCCTTGCCAACAGCAGAACCATCACAAGAATCTCCTTTGAGCCATCTGACACTAAGAACTTTTAGCACAATCTCTTCGGGGATTCCTAAAGCAACAGTGAAGGAATCCATGCCACCTCTGTAGTTATAGCAACAACAGAGGCCAGAACGTCCAGGATAACATAACAGCCACAAGCTCAAAGAAGGGGAAGAGATGCTGTCTTCCATGCTAAGATCATGTTAATTATGGAGCGGGGTATCAAAGGGGCACTGTCAGTGCCAGCCTAGCATTTTCTTCCCATTGAGTGCCTGCAGTTGTATGCCTCAGTGACAAGAGGCGGGTTTTGCCCACCCTAGCCTTGTCCCAGCACTGTTAAAGGGCCATGCTTTCTTGCAGGTTTCTCCACCCCCAAATCCTCCAGTGTGCTTCCATGTATCACTAGAGCTTTTGCTTTTCTCCCCACATTTGCCCCTCTCTGATTTGCTGCCCGTGGAGAGTCAGTTTGGAAATGATAAAAGGGTGGAATTCTGTCTCAGCTTATCAGCTGGTGGTCTTGAGCAAGTCACTTTAAGCTCCGTAAGCCTTAGTTTCCTAAAAAGGGATGAAAAACAATACAGCCTGGCTCCCTGGGTTGTTGTGAGCATCAGATCAGAGAATATATGTGAAGAGTGCTTTGAAAATTATAAATCAGTCTATAAATACCATTCTTATGTTAAGCTTTTAATGAAAATGGTACTATGCTCTTAGTCATCCAGCCTTCCAGATTTTGCAGAAGATTGCCAAATAAAGCTTGAATGGTGATGGTTTATGGCACATTTATTTTTAAATTAGGCAGAATTAAGATTAATTTTATTTTAAGGACTATGCCATGTTCTCTGAAATCACTACTAAACTCATGGATCTGTTACCATTTATCTTCTCCATCCCTCCCACTGAACTGGCTTCTTGGACCATAAAATGTCCGTTCTAAGTTGATCTATTTAGACATTAGGGTCCTGAAGGAAGGACCTCAGAGTCATCCAGGCTACTTCCTCCCTTCACTGGAAAGAAAGGGGAAGTTAAAAACCGGTCAAGAGAGGAGCCAGAACTTTAGGTCTTCTGACCCCAGGCTTATACTTTTAGGTTGAACCATATGACACTGCTGAGAGTCACACATTGCTTCTCATGACATATTTGAACAATAGCTCATATGTTTTCTATGGTCCCCCAAACAAGCACAGAGCCTTACGTAGAGCAGGTATCTGATAAATGTTGGATAAATAAAGTGTTGGGTTTGTTTTGTTTTTTTTTTTAAACGCTTGTGTTTTTAAATCAATGCAGGGAAATCTGCAAGTTGCTAAATACACACAGAGCTGCCAGATGTTTGTTTGGAGACCATAGGACATGTTGCAGCCAGGCGGGGAAGGAGGAACTGTACATTACCAACAGTTATTTGGCAGCATCCGACCCAGTCAAATACGGACGTAGGATGAGTTCCAGGGGAACACAGCACATGGCCCTGAAAGCTAGTACAATGTCACATATACAGTCAGTTGGCCACACCAGGCACGCGAACCTGGAGACAAGACAGGCATGGAAGAGAGAGACTCTTAAACTTAACTCACATGTTATCTCCCTTGGGAGATCCCAAAGATTTATCTGGAACGTTTCAAGGTGAAAATACTGCTGTGTAACATCTGAACCATATTTTGTAGAAGAAAGCATGCAGCCTCTAAAGCAGAAGATTTGGACTGGACAGAGCACTCTCTCCATGAAAAAAATGAACTAGAATTACCCATTTTTCTTTGTTGAAGTCATAGAGTTAGCCGCAAGCATGAGTTCAAAAGGGGTTGAGCAGGGCAGCAGCTAGTCCATACTGTGCCCTCATAGAGATGACAAACAGGAAAACAAATTAGAGAAAAGTATCTTTCCTCTGGGCTGGCCTGGACTTCAGCTGCTCCTCCCCCATGAGGCCAGGAGCCTTTGTGCAGCGCACTGACTGCACAGCCATTCCCAAGTGCCCTCCTTGCGGGGAGCAAATTCTCATCTAGTCTTGTTCACCACCAACCCAGCTCTCTTGGAGACCAATAATTGCAAATAATTATTTGGGGGAAATCAAGGCCCAATGACTTCCTAAGTGCTCTTTTAAAACACCCGCCCAGCAAAAACCACATTAGGTGATGTGAGTACTGCGTGGAGAGAGAAGACTTAAAAATTATCCAGATTCCAACTATCAAATTTGGAACAATGGAGCTAGGTCACACAGGTTCCATTTCCCTTTGTCTTTGGCCAAAATGGCTGCTGATCCCTGTTCACTCAACACCAGGCCCAGTTCTGGGATATTTTGGAATCAGACATACTTCACCCAGACAAAAGGGGTAGCTTCCTCCCTCAGTTCCTGTGATAGTCCATGGATTTTTCCTTTAATATTTATGTTTCCTGGTGACGGTCACCTCCTGACTACGCACAGAATTAGTAGTTTGGTAGGAAGTAACTATGATGTCATTTATTCCAGAATGCTCAGATTCTTATCACACATCTTAGCGGGATTCAACTACCAGCATTTTGGAAGACAGTCCCAAAGCAATCAACTTATGGCAGGGGAAGGTGCTTCATCATAACAAAACTCCAATGAACCAGAAGCAAAGGAGTAAGAACTTCCTAACTAATCAGAAACACTGTCTCCCTCTCCTTATTTCCTAATCAGCCAATATGTCCTTAAGAAGCAATGAATATGTGTTTGGTCTCTGGAAGACAAATAGACAAAAATCACAGGAAAAGTAGCTATTGTTAAAAAAAAATTTTTAATACACGGTTTTCTTTTTTTAAAAGATGTATTTATTTATTTAAGAGAGAAAGAGAATCCACACAGACTCCCCACTGAGTGCAGAGCCTGACGCGGGGCTCGATCCCAGGACCCTGAGATCGTGACCTGAACCGAAATTAAGAGTCGGATGCTTAACTGACTGAGCCGCCCAGGTGCCCCTAATACATGGTTTTCAAGGTGTCCAACCAAAAGGCCCGGCTGTATTTATTTAGCACAACTGCAATGTGGTAGAATGAACACCGAAGTAGAGAATTCTAAGTATTGTAACATCCCAGTGAGAACACTATTGCCTATAGGAAATCCCAGTTCTTTATCTGGAAAGCCAAACAATGGTTTAGCTACATTAGATTGAAGAAAGCCTTTAGTCTGACAAGATGGTTTACCCTGGGCCAGTTCCCACTCATTCTTCAGGGCACAGCTTAATTATCACCTCCTCGGAGCCCTACTTGAGGTGAGCTCCCCCCGCTATGCCCTCCCAGATAAGTTCTTTCTCTGTAATACTGTTCAATAAACCCTATAGTGATTACAAGTTTAACGTCAGTTTGTCTTCCCTGCGAGACTGTTCTGTATGCCGGTGTATCCTCAGTGCCCAGCAAGCTGACTGGCGTATAGTAGGTGTTTGGTTAATATTCAGGGAACGGACGAAGGCATGAATGAATCACACTTCCACTATATTCACTGTATTGTACTAAATACAATACTAAAGGAATATATATTTATTACGAGGATATTTTGTTTCAACATCACAACTTGCAACAGAGACAGGATTTCTTCACCCAGATTTTATCACGGTATACATGTAATGACAACACCTCACTACCTAAACATTTCTGTCGCTCAACAGAGGAGGACTGTTTGTAGGTACTAACTTTCAGAGTCAACTAAACTCCACAGGTGGGATAATCAGCATGACTGAGATGATTTTTTTAATTCCACTTTGAGATGCACAAACCACACTCCAGCAAGTGGCATAGTACAGAGACAAGGTGTTCACAACAGTCTCTCCCTTGGTTCATTGGTTAGAATGTGAAGAAAGTTGAAGGTTGACCAGCTAACTCTAAATAGAGAATTCAGTCCTTGGCCCCTAGATTCTCCAGCTAACACCAATCAGTTGTCTTCATATGATGCCCCCAGAAACGAGGTCATGATAAATTTCTCTCTCTCTGCGTAACCAAGGGTCGTAGCACTGCGGTATATATTAAAGCACCAAAGGCCAGGCTAAAATGTGATTTCAAGATTGCCAATTTACTTGCTTCATTGTTTCTAAATATTGAACTTAAAAAATGCGGACACCTTCTTGCATATTAAAATAACAACTCTAAAAGCGAATTGACTTTGCCAATCGGTCTTCAAAGCGTGCTTTTTCTCTGAACTAATTTCAAATGGTTCTTTTTTCCAGGTTGAGGACAACATCAAAATGTTTCCACACAGGCTGCATAATTTGAAGAGGTATTAATAAGCTGAGAGTTAGCCTGACATAATCCAATTGGATTTGGTTTTCCACATCAGCTAACTGGTATGCTTTTATTTACATCAGGTTTTTTAATATCAGCTGAACTGTTACCGGCAAATGACTTCAGCACTGGTGGAAGTTCATGATTTTTTATCTTGTTAAGCAGCAATACAGGCATGGGACAAGTCATGAGGAGAGACTCAGTTCCTTAAATTTTGCTCCTGGTATCAGGGTTTCTCTCTTCAAAGGTAATTCTCAAAATACAGGTCATGGTTCTGGATCGATGCCCACCCTAGTAGCCATATGCCATCACTTGATGCTGGCACCATCTGTCATATTGTCCATTTTTCACACCACCAGGATTGGAGGATTCCTTCTGTCAAGAGCTGGAAGAGTCTCATAACCATGAAGCACTGAGTGGGGACTCCGGGAGATTTCAGCTACGAGGAGGAGATGGGGAGGATAATGATAAGAGGTAATCTGGTGCTGATGATATTCCTCGGGTTGTTGATGGTTAAGGAAGAGAGAGAGTGCCTGGCACCATGGGAAATCTTGATGTTTGTACAAGGAACTCATCCTTGAGGAAAGAGTGGGCCACCGGCCAAGCCTTAAGGAGCTACCCACCTGTCCCTCATCTTTCCCATCTCTTTACGAGGCATAAGGTGGGAATCTCTTGAATTTGTTGGCAACTGGGTCAAACTGCTCCCTGCTCTCGTAGGAGCTACTGGTTTATTTTTCCCACTCCTATTTGAAGAAGCCATCATCATTCATTCATGTGACTAGATTTTACCTGAAAATAAACAGTGACATACCCTTACGGGACAAGAAAGGATGAACTGCAGATGTTGAACCATACCTCATTAAATTGCTATTTCTAAATCAGAGTCCCTCGTGAGTCCCGCTTAATGGAGGACACACATCAGCTTTCCTCTTGGCACTCAACATCATAGAAACATCAGCCACTTGGAGGCAGCCATAGTAAATTCCATGAGACCTGGAGAGGCCACGGGAAGCCAGTGGGGTCCCTGGGAATTCAAGTCAGGGGTTTAATCCTTCAGGGGTTTCCTTCTTGCTCCTTAAATGACCCCCACAGGGTCTCACAGGCAGAACAGACTTTGCTGAACATTTCCACAGCAGTGAAGTAGATAGGGGGCAGGACTTACCACTAGAACAGGATTTTAATTTCATTTTGGATGGAGGAGCATTTCTTTATTTCTAGAGATATATGTGAAACCACTTTTTTCCCCACAGTCCCTTCCCTGACTCTAACCCCAAATCAAGGACAAAAAGGAGACTGAGCTGCCTTAAAAAACCTTTTTCTTTCTGGACCAAGTGGGATGGAGGAGATGAGGGAGGAGCAGACTTAGGGAAGGCAGAGAAAATGTGACTTTGAATCAATTCATAGATGACTCAGAAACTGAGGAGGCCTCCCCATGTCTTCACATGACACCCTGCAAAGTTGTATTCTGTTCAGTGTTGTTTTCCCTGCTTTTCTCATCATATGTGGCTCATTAAATATCAAAATCCTTCTTTCCCAACGATGCTCTTTTAACATAACTTCTTTTAGTTAACCATTTATTAGTGGTTATTATGTATCAGGACTTCATATGTATTATCAGATTCTCCCAAGGGCTATATGCAGTAGCCACAAAGATTATTTCGATTTTCACAGATAAGGAAAGGCACAGGGACGTTGAGTAACTTCCTAAGATCACCCAGCAAGGAGATGGCAGAGCTGATTCAAACCTAAGACTTGCTGATCTCAAGGCTGTACACTTGAACGCCACTCACACCCTTTCCTCAAACTGAGACACAGTCAAGTTGAGGACTCTGGCAAGGCGGAAGCAACTGATATTTCTTGAACATCAAATGGATACCAGCCACTGTGCCTGGGGCTTTATAGGACTTTCTCTATAACCCACCTTCTCTATAACCCTATATGATAATTATTACCAAAATGCCACCTGCCCGCCCCAACAAGTTGAGAAAAGAGGAATTAAGTAATATGCCCAAAGTCACCGATCAAGGCAGTGACAAAGCCAGCCTTCAAATCGGAGTCTGCTTGACTCCGACATAATACAACACTGGAGAAGCCACAGCAATCTGCTTCCCACAGCAAACAGAGATGCTGCATTATAATGTTTCCTTTGGGTTTTGCTAGGCAAGGCATACTTTGTTTGTCCTTATAGGTCAAGTCTCTTCCAACTTAATTTTAAAATAATACATAATTTAGTATATTATTTTAAATTGCAGTATTCTCTAACCAAAAAGACAGATAATAACAAAGGTTGGCAAAAGCGTGCAGAAACTGGAACCCTCATATACTGCTGGGGGGGATGGAAAGCAGTACAATTGCTTTTGAAGACCATACGACTGTTTCTTGGAAGGTTAGACCTAGAGTCACCATTTGACCTAGCAATTCCACTCCTAGCTACACAGCCACAATAACAGAAACTCTATGTTTGCACAAAAGCTTTACGTGAATAGTCACAGCAGCACTATTCATAATAGTCAAAGAGTGGAAACAGCTCGGGGCACCTGGGTGGCTCAGTCGGTTAAGCGGCCAACTCTTGGCTTCGGCTCAGGTCATGATCTCAGGGTCCTGGAATGGAGCCCCGTGTAGGGTTCCATGCTCAGTGGGGAGCCTGCTTCTCTCCCTCTCCCTCTCTCTCTACCCCCAACTCGTGGACTCTCTTTCTCTAAGATAAATAAATACATCTTAAAAAAAAATGTCCATCAGCTGAAGAATGGGCAAACAAAGTGTGGTCTATCCACACAATGGGACATTATTTGCCAATAAGAAAGAATGAAATAGGGATATGTGAACCCTAGAAACACTCTGCTTAGTGAAAGAAGCCAGTCACAAAAGACAACATAGTGTGTGGTTCCATTTATGTGAAATATCCAGAATAGGCAAATCCAGAGAGACAGAAGGTAGGTCAGGGATTGCCAGGGCTGGAAATGGAGATTATAGCTCACAAGTACAACTTGCTTTTGGGGGTGACAAAAATGTTCTTCAACTGACTGTGGTAATGATGGTACAACTGTATAAATATACTACAAACCACTGAATTGTACACCTGACATGGGTAAACTGGATGGTGTGAGAATGATATCTCAATAAAGCTGTTATACATTTATATTTAAAAAAAACTGCTCCAGGGGCGCCTGGGTGGCTCAGTGAGATGTCCAACTCATGATTTCAGCTCAGGTCATGATTTCAGGGTCATGAGATTGAGCCCCACGTTGGGCTCAATGCTGGGCTTAAGATTCTCTCTCCCCCTCTGCCCCTCGGGCCCCCTTCTCCCTCTCTAAAACAAACAAACAAACAATCCCACAATGCCCCATGACAAAAACCAATTACTGTGCATTTAGTAGGCTCTCCTGAAATATCTATTGAATGAATGCGCCAAAGTGCTTTATGGCTATTTAAAAATAATACATGTTCATTTAAATTCAAATATGTCTTTTAGGAGTAGATAGATGGTGCTTGCTTTGCAACAATGTCACATGAAGCGTGCCCAGACTCAACCATCCCTGGAACCAAGTACTGATGACTTCTGACTTCTCAGGGGGCGCTGAGATGTGGGCTTCGGTGGTGGAAGTTTATCAACAGCCCCACAATGCAGGAACTCTCCCTCTGTGCCAACAGGACCAACTGCAAGAACCATACATGACTCACTGACGATGAGGATGCCGTTGAGTGTTAACTGCCTCCCCAAACCCTCAGTGAGCCAAACCCAGAGCAGCGGGGAAGCTCCAGGGTGACTCAGGACCACCAGCTAATAAACTGTCACTTGGGTCTTAGAATCTGGGAAAATGAACAACAATCTTCCTTTGTTGCTAAAGAAACTCCCGAGAGCAGCTCCTGATAGCATTTACTATTTATGGCCACATTTGAGCTAATATGAAAGAGTATGGAAAGAAAAAATAGTAAGTTCCAGGGTAAAAATGGAAACCAATATTGAGGGTTGCAGGGGAGGGGACATGGAATAAATAGATGTCTGAACTTGAGCTCTAGCTGTGGAGTTAGCCTGATGTGAACTGTTAAAAGAGCCAAGAAAAAAGGATATGAACGGTGAGTGCATTGCGGAAGAAACAAGGTAGAGTATGAGTGGATTTAACAACAAAACAAATTAGCTCAACAGACAAGCTTCTCAGGAGCAGATAGAGTCCAGAACCCAGCACTGACTAGATAATCTTCTCAAGGAATGGTTTTCAAGCCTTCCTCACCAGGGAAAAAAACCTCCCAAGAATAATTTAGAAAGCACAGATTTTATGAGCCTTGGATTTACGAAATGTTTGTTCTGATGTTCCTTTACAAAATGGAAGTAGGAATACGGTACAGAGTTGAAAAAGATTCACCTGAGGCATAGAGGCTCTGAGATGCCACGTGCTGAGCTCCTGACTTCACAGCTCCGAAATTCACTAGTGTTATTTTGGAAAGGATTCAATCTCATCTACAAAAAAGCATCCTCGCGGGAAACAAAACACAACTACAAAAAACGTAGTGTGTACTCCGTGTATGAAGGATCGCTGGGAGCTTTTGTGTCTTTTATTTCATTGCCTTTCTAAAACAGCTCTGTGAGATAGACATGCTACAAAAGAGGAAGGAACTGTGGCTCAAGGAAATGAGGCATCTTTCCTGAAGTCAAATAACTGGTAAGTGGGGCAGGGAGAGGATGTGCTTCTGAATCTTCAAACTTCTTTTTTTTCTAACTTTTTTTAAAATTTTTTATTGTTATGTTAATCACCATATATTATTTTTCTAACTTTTTAAAAAAACATTATTTACTTATTATTTGAGAGAGAGAGAGAGAGAGAGCACAAGCAGGGGGGACGGCAGGCAGAGGGAGAAGCAGACTCCCTGCTGAGCAAGGAGCCCGATGCGGGGCTCCATCCCAGGACCCTGGGACCATGACCTGAGCCAAAGGCAGATGCTTAACCAACTGAGCCACCCAGACGTCCCCTGGCTCTTCACACCTCTTAACCACTCTTATCTCCACCACCCTACACCTTCCCGAAGTAAAGCAGTCATCAATTTGTCCATCCAGGGAAGGGCTTCTAGAATGAAAGACTAATGACATTCTGACTGAGATGAAAGACCACCATGAAACTCAGCAGACCAGAGGGAGAATACCAAGGAAGTAATAGGAGGGCTCCAGGCTTTAGAACATCTACAAGTCGGGGACCCCAAAGAAAGACTATGTGTGAAATATTAGTCAAAATAAAAAGATCAGTAACTACCATTACATCTAGTCCCCCGAATCCTACAGCTTCTGATGTATTTTGTTGTCTGTTCTTGACGAGTGTACCAGAAGATGAGAATCTGGGGATTTTAGAATAGAACTTTTCTTAACATTACTCAGTGTCTTATTTGAACTGTAAATGTTGAAATGTGCTCCTAGAGTGGTTAGTTTTTGCCACAGCCAATAAACACACAAAATTGAGAAGAAAAAATATTTGTAATAGCTTTCAACTTTTCTTACACAATTCGCACAGATGAGACCATGACAGAAGTTGTTGATTTTGTCACTGACATTTTGTAATCATTCTCCACCATAAATCTTCCTTTTGGGTTTTGTGGGACAAGTTTTCCCACTGTTTCTTCCCCCTACAAACCCATCTGGGTACGCTCCTATCATTCTCAATGACATACGGTCATAAAAGGGGAAACACACCTGCACTTGACAGGGGTGCCAAGGAAAAGCAATATCTTGCCCTGGAAACCTTTTCTGAATCCGCAATGAGCCCTCAGGCTGCAGACATTTCAGAAGGAAATATTGGGTGTCTATCTATGTGCCGTTATTAGCCTGTCAGTTACAAGCGGAAAGAATACTGGACAGACAGGGCGCTACGTTCAAATGCACCCTCTGCCGTGAATTAACTAGGTAAGTAACCTTCACCAAGGGCTTTCTTCTCTCCTGGCTGCAGGCTCTCGTGTGTCTAATGAAGCGCTCAGTGTAGAGCAGCCCTACAGAACTCTCCAGCCGTCGGACACCTTGGCCCCTGGCTTTGCCCCTTCTGGTGATTTCCTAGCAAGTACCTGTTTCTTGGTCACCGTGCCATCCACGGGGTCCACATATTCAAAGCAGTCTGTTTTTGCCACACTGTAGACATGGTTTCCCACGGCGAACTGCTGGCCGATGAAGGACTTGTCCGTGACCAGGGCCTCCAGGTCCCTCATGATGTAATATGTTGTCTTGGGCTCTAGCCCCTCATAGTCAAACCTGGCGAGGGAAGGCAGGACACAGGGTGAAGACAAACCTAATCAGAGAGCCAGCAATGAGTGGACGTCTCAAGGTCACCTAATCACTGGTTTTGTTTTCCTGGAAGAATGGCACAGAAAAGCACCCCAACTGGTCCCCACGCTCTTCTACCTGGCCCATATAACCCAGGCCCTATACAGGAGCCCAAGTGATGTTGTAAAAATCACATCAAGTCATGTCCTTTCTTTTAAATCCCTGCCCATCACGTTGAGAACAAGACTCTAGCCACAGGCCATAAGGCTCTGTGGGATCCGGCCCCATCTACCCCCTTGACTTTGTCCCACTCTCGCCCTTGTTCCCTATGCTCCAGCCACAGGGGCTTCCTTTCCAGTCCCCAGAGCCACTTTGCCCTGTCCTGCCTTTGGGCCTTTGCCATTGCCGTCTGTTCCCTCAACCTGATATATTCTTCCCCCGACCATTCGAATACCTGACACATTCTCCTCCGTCACTTTTCCAACTTCGTGTCACCTCCAGAAAGCGACCTTCTCCGACCATCCATTCAAGATACTTCCCTCTATCTCTCCCTCTCTCACATCACTGTTGATATTTTCTTGTAGCCGTCATCCCGATCTGCATTGACTTGGTGTATTTGTTTACTTATTTCTTATCTGCTTTTGCCCACACGAACCACAAGCTCCAGGACGGCAGAGACCTTATCTGTTTTGTTCTCTGCTGCTTCTAGTAAGTGTTTACCAAGCAGTGGGATGAAAGATGGGAGGAAGGGAAGGGAGGGAGGAAGGAAGGAGAGAGAGGAATCAAGGGAGGTGAAGAGAGAAGGAGGAAGGGACCTCAACGTACCATAAAACTCTCTTGGAAACTTGGAAGAAATACCACAATTGTTCCATTAAAAAGAAGTCCTCCTAGCCAAGAACATCAAATGTAACAATGGGGCTGGGAGGTGATTAGGAAAAAAAAGACTAAAAATAACACCCACCTCATTTGTTGTTGTAGGGTTTAAATACCATAATGCATATCAAGTAGTCGGCCCAATGCCAGACACCATTGCTTAAAACTATTAATTGAGTTTATTCTTAGTCACTACCATAAGGAAACTGTAGAGTCTTTCCCAGTGTCAGGTAGTCTTGACCAAAACTGAATGGCACACCCAGGGGGGTCTGTTTAAGAAGGAAGCCCTCGAGGGGCAGCTGTGCCCAAATGGCTCCGGTGGGATCTCACACTGTGCTCTGGGTGACACGGGGACGAGATGTGAGTTCCCAGCCAGCTGAAAGAAGGAAGACTTGAATCACTGTTACTTTTTCTTCACCCAAGATCTTTTAAGACTTTGAGTAAGCATCAGGGTATTAGCCAAAATGGAAAACATGGAATGATGCCATTTCTAGCAGTGGGTCCCCTGTCCCTGTATCTCTGTCTTGTCTCTCCCTCCTACATGGATGTGCCCTCCCCAGGCTCAGAAACAAAACAACTGGGAACTCTCTCAGAACATTCTCAGCAGTGCATGTGTTCTGAGCCTAAATTCTCTTTAAAGATAGTATTCTGGGGGAAGATCAAGACCCAACCAAGCAGAGAGGGGCAGGAGGATGGGATAGAGGGTTTATTAGGGGACAGAGGGGCACTGAAAGAGATTCAGAGGTTGAGAAAATCCACTAAGGGGACAGTTCACATTCGGTCTATGGCTGAGGTGGTCAGACCAGCCTGCCCAAATGCTCATCTTCATGCACAAGCAGACTCTGCAACGGCCCCCCCTTCGCTGCCACAAACTACCCCCTCTGACCACCACAACACACTTTCAAGGGAGGAAATCTTGCAATGGAGAGTACCTTCTAGGGTCCACTCACACAAGGAAAATCATCTGGGTTCCCAGACACAACTTCAGGCTCAGAAATAATTCAAAAAAAAAAACCAAAAAAACCCAAAAAAACTGTGTGATTATCTCCTCCCCACCAAAAAGAACAGCCTAGAAGTCATTTTATTCCACAAGGATCTCTCAACCTACATCTGCTGGAGGCTGAAAAAAAAAAAAGTGTTTACCCTTCATTCTCCTTATACCCTCCTCCCTTTTTCTTTATCTCTGGGATCTCTTTGGACAGAAATCTGAAACATAAGTCAATGTTCTAAAGAATTTACATCTCCATTGCATTATATTCTCTAATATGGTATTTGTTATGAAAAAAGTAATTATCATGTAAGCTCTTGGCCACACAAAAAAAATGAACTATATTATAAATACACTTATCATAACATCACATCTTCAAAACACTGGCAGAAAGCTAGATAATCACTGCACAAATTATGAGGAACACAACCCTAACTCAAAGTGATCTCACTAAGCCAGAGGTTGGCAATCATATTTTATCAGGTTGGACTTTTTTGGAACAGCTTCGTGAACAGAAAGTTTTGTTGTGCCAGTTATTTCCCTGGTATGCCAAAAAGGCCCACAAGAATCAGGGTATTTTGGCACTAGTTAGAAATACTAGTAAGGAGGGGCGCCTGGGTGGCTCAGTCGTTAAGCGTCTGCCTTCGGCTCAGGTCATGATCCCAGGGTCCTGGGATCCAGCCCCGTATCGGGCTCCCTGCTGAGCCGGGAGCCTGCTTCTCCCTCTTCCTCTGCTGCTCCCCCTACTTGTGCTCTCTCTCTGTCAAATAAATAAATAAAATCTTTAAAAAAAATAAATACTAGTAAGTAAAACAAATGCCCACTTGCCTTGAGAATATTTTATGATACAAGGAATCATTTGAGGGGCGCCTGGGTGGCTCAGTCTGTTAAGCATCTGCCTTCAGCTCAGGTCATGATCCCAGGGTCCTAGGATCGAGCCCTGCACCCGGCTCCCTGCTCAGTGGGGAGCTTGCTTCTCCCTCTCCCACTCCCCCTGCTTATGTTCCCTCTCTCGCTGTCTCTCTCTGTCTGTCAAATAAATAAATAAAATCTTTTAAAAAGAAAAAAAAAAACACAAGGAAATCACTTGAGGTGATTTTCAGGCAATTAACCACCTCTGCCTTCTTGACTAAACTGGAGAAAAGACTATTAGGGCACTGTCAACATTTCCCAGAGCACTGCAATCTTTTTGACAGTAATGAATCCTATCACGGGCTTTCTTAATCTCTGATATTTATCTAAGTAAATGACTTCTTAAGAGAAGAAACAATCACCTTATAAGGGAAGTCTAAGGCTTTCTTTCTGTTCCTTAAACTCTTAAAACATAACGAAACACTCAAAGTAGTTAACTATTCATAAACAAAGCAAAGGAGCCACAATTTCTGTTTTCCAAACAGAGAGAGTCTCTGAGGATACCCAAGGATTCCCTGGCCCCATCCCCGGGTTCTCCACAGTTAACATCCTTGCCTATCACTGCTCCCCCAAGACCATGGCTTGGTACCAGGAACACAAACCTATCATACCTAGGTACACATATCTAGCAGGCAACCAGGCAGCCAGAAGACTCGGCCCCCTCACTTATTTCAAAAGCAGGAAAGTAATATAGACCCGCCCCCCCAACCCTGAGCTCTTAGCCAGACCTTTGCCCTCCCTCCCTCCCAGGGTAACAGTTCCCTCTTCTGTATCTCCTTTCACAGGGACAACACTTTAGCAAAAGGTGGGGCTCCTGAACCCTATGGCCCCTTCAGAGGGTACCTTAGACATTGTTGGACCGTTAGCGGGCAAGTGAGACAGAGGGAAGGAGAGGAATTACAGAAGCAGTCCGACCTGTCACAGCTTTGCCTCTGCCTCCCTCCCTTGATAATTATGGGTGGAGAACTAACAAGGAGAGCCCCCGATTGGACGATAAAACTGTCCTGGGCACCAAAGGACTTTCACGGTTCCGCAGTTCAGAGTCCCCCTTGGAATGGCTGCCCACCTTATAGGCATGGATGAAAAGATCACAGAGGAATGTCACTAGGGGAGGGGAAATTTATGCCTTCCAGTTTGGATGTCCTTGACAGGACCCCCAAACACCTGTCAGGGGCTCCAGCCCCTGTGGTCCTCAGACCGTCCTGAAACCTACCTCCTTCTTAAGGTCCTAGCCCACCACTTTTCTTTAAGAGCAGTTCCCCAGGGTCCCTACCCTTCTCACCTGCAATAATAGTGGCGGCCAAATTTGGCCCAGTGATCTCGGACGATTTCCTCCACACTCTGCTTCCGGGCAGCCAATATGGAAAGCCAGACCAAGACAGCCCAGAGGCCATCTTTTTCCCGGAGGTGATCGGAGCCTAAGGAAGAAAGAAGTATGCTGCTGAGGAATTGTTCCTGGGGGAAAAGTAAAAGCTAAATGAACTATGAAGACCAGTTAGCAATTGCATGTTGAAATGGTTGGATATATTTATCCATCGTGATTAAATACATGTCCCATCATATATTTGCATTTCCAAAAAATATCCAACTGAAATTCAAATAACATAAAATACCATCAAAAAAAAATAAAATACAGTCCTGGAAGTTCTGGAAAGTACCAAAGAGCCAAGTTGACATCACATTTGCCCAACACCATCATTCATTCATTCATTCATTCATTCAGTAATTTGGTGATCCTTGCAATAGACCAAGCACTGGTCTAGGTGCTAGGGACACAGCAGGGAGCAAGACAGCTCTTTATTCATAAAGCTTGAATTCAAGTAGGTAGAGACAGGCAACGGAAAAGTAGATGAGAGAACAAGAAGCATTAAATAAGGACAAGGGCTATGCAAAAAAGTCACGGAGTATGACAGCAGCAAAAACTCTATTACCTAGAGTGTAGTGTAGTTTATCTACAGGAAGGTTAGTGGTGGCTTTCCCAAAAGATATGCTCACCCAGATCCTGTGAATGTGACCCTATTTAGGGAAACAGTCTTGCAGATAGAATTAAGGACCTTGAGATGAGATTATCCTGGGTTATCTAGGTGGACCTTAAATCCAAAGACAAGTGTTTTCCGAAGGAGAAGAGAAGACACAGAGAGGAGAAATACAAAGGAGCAGGTTATGTAAGGAACTTCTCAAACTCAACACCCAAAAGACAAATATCAAGTCAAAAAATGGGCAGAAGACATGAACAGACACTTCCCCAAAGAAGACATACATATGGCTAATAGACACACGAAAAAATGTTCAACATCATTAGCCATCAGGGGAATTCAAATCAAAACCACACTGAGATACCACCTTACACCAGTTAGAATGGCAAAAATTGACAAGGCAAGAAACAACACATGTTGGAGAGGTTGTGGAGAAAGGGGAACCCTCTTACACTGTTGGTGGGAATGCAAGTTGGTGCAGCCGCTTTGGAAAACAGTGTCGAGGTTCCTCAAAAAGTTAAAAATATAGCTACCCTATGACCCAGCAATTGCACTACTGGGTATTTACCCCGAAGATACAGATGTAGTGAAAAGAAGGGCCACATGCACCCCAATGTTCATAGCAGCGATGTCCGCAATAGCCAAACTGTGGAAAGAGCCGAGATGCCCTTCGACAGATGAATGGCTGAAGAAGATGTGGTCCATATATACAATGGAATAGTACTCAGCCATCAGAAAGGATGAATACTCACCACGTGCATCGACACGGATGGGACTGGAGGAGATGATGCTAAGTGAAGTAAGTCAAACAGAGAAAGACAATTACCATGAGGTTTCACTTATCTGTGGAACATCAGGAACAGCATGGAGGACATTAGGAGAAGGAAGGGAAACATGAAGGGGGGGAGTCGGAGGGAGAGACGAACCATGAGAGACTATGACTCTGGGAATCAAACTGAGGGTTTTGGGGGGAGGGGGCTGGGGGGATGGGTGAGCCCGGTGATGGGTATTAAGGAGGGTACATATTGCATGGAGCACTGGGTGATATACGCAAACAATGAATCATGGAACACGACATCAGAAACTAATGATGTGCTGTATGGTGACTAACGTAACATAATAAAAAAATTTATAAAAAAAAAAAAAAGACAGAGACAGAGATTGGAATTATGCTGCCTCCAGCGAGGGAACATACGGAGCCACCTGAAGTTGAAAGAGGCAAGGAAATGTTCTCCCCTAGAGCCTTCAGAGGAAGGATGACCCTGCCAACACCTTGATTTTGGACTTCTGGCCTCCAGGACTATGAGAGAATAAATTTCTGTTGTTTTAAGCCACTCAGTTTATGGTAATTTGTTATGGCAGCCTCAGGAAACGAATACAGGTCTTCAGATGATGGCATCTGAGCTGATACATGAGAAGGAGTCGGCCACGCTGAGATGTGGGGACAAAGCTTTCCAAGCCAAGGGACAGCAACCACAAGGTCCCCGATGCAGGAATAACCTGGGAAACTGGGAAGCCTAATCCTACAGCTACTCCATAGAAGGAGAAGCAGTTCATATCGTGGCATTCACACGAATGATGAATGCCAGCTGAACAGGTAGGTTTCTGAGCAAAAAAGAACCAGAAGGAAGTGCAGAGGCCCACTTAAGCACCTGTCTATTGGCCAACTCTAAGCTCTCTCCAAAATGAATAGAGCCCTGAATACAAGGCACATGTAGCAGCGTAAGGAACATGGTGTAAGGGGAAAAGCATGGGAAGGCTTTGGAATGAGGGTTTGAAACCAAACCCTTGCTAATTCCCATGTGTGTGAGAAGTTGTTGCAAAGTTATTAACCTTTCTGGGCCTCGACTTCTCATCTGTAAAATGAGGACACTGTCACCAATCTTGTGGAGTTGTCCTACCAATTTAATCAAGTCCAGAGGACAGGCTCTTGAGTCAGTTTGCTCATGTTCAAGTGCTGGCTCTTTGTGTGACTGGCTGTTCTCATCTACAGCATAGGGACAGTGATGACTCCCACCCCACAGAGGTACTGTCAGGGTGAAGTGATTACACATGCCTAGGTATTTAGAGCACTGACTGGGATGTCACAAGTGACTGTTGTTGCTGTTCATCTTATCATTGGTAATTCACACAATGCACCAACATGGTGCTAATTCCTTAAGACACACTTTAAGGCAGATTGTTCTCAGTTATTCATATAATGTTATCCTCTGACACTAGCAATAACCCTATCGTAAGAATGGGGACTGGGACCAGGGGCTGGACCATCGCTTCTTGCAATAGAGCAATGAGAATGGACAAGAATACTCTTCAGTTTCAGGGCTACGAAACATACATAGAAAATCAAAAAGGGAGACCCGATGTCACCAAGCTATTTAAACCTTGGAAATGGGATGAATAATACTTTAGTTAAGTTAAACATTTTTGACAACTTCTCAATGAAGCTATGAGCCATTTGCTCTTGTTACATTTATGGTGTTAAATGTTACAAGCTTTTCCTCAAAAAGGAAACATACATCCTTGAGAGAGCAGTGAAGATATTTAAAAGGAAAAACAATCAGTTTTTGGTCTTCCTCTATGCTGATGATCTGCTGATGACACTTTTAGACATCTGGTTGCCGCTGCCTCTAGGTTGAATGGACCCCAGGCATTAATCATCACACCAGGGGGTGACGCTTATCTTATCCAGAGAACTCTTCACACTGCTACAAAAATGGAAGAAGTTTGGTAGATGCTGGGCTGGCTCCATGGCTAAATGCCAAAAAAACAAGTCTAGGAAACCCTGCCCGATGGGATAATGTCCTTTTATAGCTGAAAAATCACTTTTATTTACTGGCTAGAGAAAAATACCCTTTTGTTTTAAAACATGGGCTTCGCATACCTTTGCATTTCCAGCTGGATTACATTACCTGGAGACAGAACCATTAGATGCTATTAACTCTGTGAAATAAGATGTCATAATTTAGTGGTAGAAGAGACATAGTTCTTTTAGCAGGACTTAAAAAAAACACATCTCGCCCCTTTGTCGCCAACTTCACAGTAGATTGTGAGTTGGCTTTGGATATACTTGCCTACAAATTAAACATCTGCCAAAATTCATAAGGGTCCATAATGATCTAGTAAAATTGCGCTCTTTACAGCTTTCTGAGGTGGGGACAGAGACACTGATGATGCTGCATTTACACACGTTTCCCTGGATGCTCATAGCATGCTTTGGAGAGGGTTTGGGGGATACAACCTTCTTTTTAATAATTCTTTAAAGCAAATGAACTATAATGCCATATCAGTGATAGGTAAATTAAACAAGAAATGCAGAAAACACAAAGGTATAAAATGGTTTTCTGAAACCCCACCATAAACAGTAAAAACAGAGGGGAAAGCTGTTCACATTATATATTACATGGCTAATACACTTCATATTTATAAATATTTTGAGTCAATGAGAAAGAAACGCCCTGACAGAAAACTGTGCGGAAGGGCACAAATGAGCAATTTTTCAAGAGAAAAATATTAACAGTTAAAAACATTGGAACAAATGTTCAGTCTCACTGTGGTCAAATCCATAAAATGGGATAATATTTGGAGACTACCAAATTAGCAAAGGTCAGTTAGGGGAAGAAGAATACCAGGGGCACCTGGTGGCTCAGTTGGTTAAGAGACTGCCTTCGGCTCGGGTCATGATCCCGGAGTCTGGGATCAAGTCCCACATCGGGCTCCCTGCTCAGCGGGAAGCCTGCTTCTCCCTCTGACCCCACCCCCCTCATGTACACTCTCTCTCTCATTCTCACTCTCTCAAATAAATAAATCTTAAAAAAAAAAAAAAAGAATACCAGTACCAGTAAGTATTAGTATAAATGTGTGCAGTTTGATAGCATAATTTGGCAAAAATAATCAATAGTCTTAAAGTATCACCCAGCTTTGGACCCAGCTATTCTATTTTTTTTTTTAACCTTTAGCCATAACAACATTTACTAAAATAGCTAAGAGAAGAGAGGAAAATTGGAAAAATAAATGCTAATCGTTAAACATCAGGATAATTGTGGAAAATCCATCCAAAAGCTTGTTTAGATGTTTTCATAAATGGAACAAATCAGTTTCCCAAGGAAGTATATTCAGTATACTTTTATAGCAAAAGATATGTAGATATGTCTATATATGTGTGCACAGGTAAACAACAGGAGGACCACCTAACCACTAACAATAGTTAACTCTGAAACGGTAGAATCACAGGTGTTTTCTTCTTCTTCTGCCCTATTTCCAGAAGAAACATGTGTTTTTTTTTCATTATAAGACATTTTCGGTGGTGGGTAGAAATTCACATTTGAAGCCATTCATTTCCATTTACCAAAGAGGTAGGCGGGATATTACAGGGATCGCTACCACTTA